ACATAATGAGATATGTCTTGGTGTTTAATTCGTCTGTTTTAGAAGCGAGTGATGGAGACCGTCACATTTGTCTGTCTACCTGGGTGTCAGAGGTGAACAGTTGATAAAGCTTGGTTCTGAGTGTTGCCCTGTCCTGTGATGTCGGCTCAGCTTCTAGCTACTCTGTGATTTAAATACTTACGATACAAAGTAGTTTTTGAAAACTCTGTAGTAGATGGACAAGTTGTTAAAGTTGTGTATGGCTTGGGCCATTTTCTGCTTGATTGTAAGGGTGAAATAAGCTCATTTCAAAAGAAGTTGTCCCCTGATTTTAAGATCGCAATGTTTTACCCTGGCCCCATCTTTTGAATTGCAATTTTGACAAGTGGGCACTTCCAGTCCTTGTTCTAGAAAACCACAACATACCCAGTTTAGACCACAGAAGGGAAGGGAAACAGTATCAGTGGTCTTTGCACTCTTTGTATGACTTAGCCTTTCTTTTATAGGTGAAGGGAACTCGTGCCCAGTTCATAATAAAGTTTGTTTATCTCTCCATCTATAAAACAGGTGAAGTTAGTGAATATTAGAAATGATGACATAACAGATGGGAATCCTAAGCTGACTCTGGGATTAATATGGACAATAATTTTGCACTTTCAGGTAAGTCCGAGCTTTCTTCATTGCTGTTTCTGTGTCTTGTGGCTGATTTTCACGTGGTTCATGAAAGGGTGCTTAATATCCTCTGAATGAAAAGCAAATTTCAGAACAGTACTCCAGTTACCTTTCTAGTAGCACGGTGAGCCTGGCGTCTCATCGCCTGGTCTCCGAGAGCTTCTCTATTTGCCTTTAAAGACCTTCTCTTGTAATCTTAGAGTTGAGAGGTAGAGATCTGTTTTTACCTAAATGCGGACGTGTTTCTCTTGTTCTTTGGTCTGTGTTACTTGTTTTAGTATGCAAAGACTTTGACTCAAATCCATAGTGTAAGAAATTCAATTTCCTCTAGTAGACACTAGATGGCAGTAGACGTATTCTAAGAAGCCAGATTAGAAGAAAAGTCTCACCTAACAGCCGTGGTTTATATAGGTCTGAGCACAATACAGTTTGTGCCTTGCTTTAGTTCTTTAGCTGCTCGTCTCACAGAACGTTCGTCAGACCCTCAGTAGTACTGTGCTAAGCAGCTTACTAGCTTCAGAAAGGAAGTAGGTGGGGCTGGGGGGGTGGGGAAATAAAGGAGCTCGTTTAGGAACAGGATCTGAGCCTTACGGCAAGATCTAGAGGGGAAGAATCCTCTAGGATGGAAACCCCAGGGCTGATAGGACCGGGGCAAGTGGGGATGTGGTGTTAACCAGCCTGCCTACAGGACTATTGATGAAGGTGTCCAGTCAACTGGATTGCTGAAGTCAAGGCAAGCCAGTGAGTAGCTAGCTGTTAGCCAAGACTTCAGAGCACTAAAGGTTGTCATTATCAGAAGACCACACCCAAGAAGCCTCAGCACTAAACCAGGGCAAAGCTTTGCTTGTGGGACACAGCCAGGCCATGCTACCACACTGCATGAAGTAGAAGTGACTCAAGAGTGATTTCATGTAAGTGACTCAGTTGTTCTCTCCTACACATCAGCGCGTTAGGTCAGTCCTGTCGCTGCTTTATCCCAGTAAATACATACACAGAGTCTTATTATTACTTAGGAATGCCCGGCCTTAGTGTGGCTTGTTTCTAGCCAGCTTTTCCTAAGTTATCCCGTCTTCCTTTTCCCTCTGGGCTTTTATCTATTTCTATTCTATATTCCTTTCTTTGTTTCTTACTCCGGGGCTGGTGGTGTTGCTGGGTGGCTGGCCCCTAGCATCCTTCTCTCCTCCTTTTCTTGCTCCTTTTTTCTTCTTCCAAGATTTCTCCTCTATTTATTCTCTCTGACTGCCAGCCTTGCCTATCCTTTCTCCTCCCTCGTGATTGGCCGTCCAGCTCTTTATTAGACCATCAGGTGTTTTAGACAAAGTGATGCAGCTTCACAGAGTTAAGAAATGCAACATGAAAGAATGCAACACATCTCTGCATCATTAAACAAGTGGTCCCCAGCATAAACGAATGAAACACATCTTCAGCCAGTATCCACAGCACAGCACTTTTTAAATTATGGTTGAAACTGTGAGGACCCAGATGGGAAAGCCTCACTGGAGGGGAGCCGGCTAGTTCATCACATAGCTGATAAGGCAGGCTGTGTCTAATTTGACTATCAGCCTAGAGATCACTGTGGGGCAGTTGAAAAGACTTCAGAGGAGGGAAACAATTTCATTGTTGACTTTTATTCATTCTTTCTTGTGATGGTCACTCTGACTGAGCTTGAGGGGAAAAAAAATTTAATAAAATAAAATCTGGTGGGCTAGCGAGATTAAGGTGCAGTGGGCAAAGGCTCTTGTCGACAAACCCAAAGGCTCGACACTGAACCCACGTGGTAGGAGGAAACTGACTCCTGTTGGTGGTCCCCTGACCTCCAGTTGTGTGCTAGCATGTGCACCCTTCTCTAATAAATAAGATGTAATTAATTTTTAAATCTTTAGTTCTATGTAAAAATATGAAAATGAAGTGATCATCGTGAGGGAGAAGAGCCAAGAAACTGAAGTGGTTTCAGAGGTGAGGGATATGTGTGTGTGGCGGGGGGGGGGGGGGGGTTTCGGTGAAAATTGTATCCAATAGGTGACATTTTGAAAATGGAAGAAAGAAACTTGGCTACAGGGTATAGAAAATGGAGAGGAGGACTCAGGTTAAACTCTTTAAGACATCAGAAAACATATTGTGAGATCTCGGGTTGGTAGCAGGGAGAAAATGGTTGACCTTCTGGGTGGGTTTGAAGGGTAAGTGAGCTATCCTGTGTGCTAATCTGCTGAGCAGAGCAGACCTGACAAGTGAAGATACAGGTCCCCTGTCGGGAGGGCCCATGACGGCGATGGGGCAGGAGCAGGTCTTGCTGAGGAAATGAAAAGGGATGAATATTCAGAGAGATGTGTGAAGCAAAGGGAAAATGGACTGATGAAACCATGGAAGGAAAACACGAGTAGAAATGGCTGCTTAACAGTCTGAAGTGCCACGGAGATTGTAGAGAGGAAACATTCCCCAGCTGCTTGCAGCAGAAACAAGGAAATAACAGATGGGAATGTGGGTAAGCAGCAATCAGAGGCAGCATATGTGGACTCCGCATTGAGGGAATCCAAAGCAAAGGGTCATTTAGGAAGAATTACGTGGTAAGCCAGCCGTTGTGGTACTGCTCGTGTCTCAGAGTCAGGGATGAGAGGCAGGAGGAGAAGAGTTTGAGTATGGTTGCTTGAATAAAGTGTAAATAAAGCTCTTCTTAGTGCTGTGCTAATCAAAGATTCGAATTCCTGCCGTGCCCAGAGAGAAGAGTGGTCACCCTCACCCAGAGGGTGTAGCTTTTTATTTCCTCTACTTGTTGCTTAAATAAGACAAAATTTTCAGACACAACAGTGGTCTGTTTTTAAAGACGCGTCTGAGCATCATAGGTTGAATCTGTTTTCCAGCCTGGCGTTCAGAAGGTAGGAATTATACTCCTGACAGTCTCATGTCCTGATATGCTAGATCACGATGAGGTGTGCTCTCTGTTAAAGGGCAAGTTAGGTGTAACCAAGGGTTATACATCCATTGGCAATATAAATACAAATCGAAGTGTGTGAAGAAAAGTTGAGGGGTTGTGGCAGGCCCAGCAGGGCATTTCAGGAGAAGACTGGAAAAGGTACCAGTTACCAGGCAGATGCAAAAGCTGAGCCATTTCTGGAAGGGAACGGTGCATGTGACTTAACCATGGACAGTTGCTTAGTTTGGCAGGGCCAGGGGGAAGGGTGGAGGGAGTGCCAATCACGGTGGCTTCTCCACCCTGTCAGTACACATAGCAGCCAGTCTGCATTGAAGTGCTGCTCCATTACTGTTGAAGACATTGAAAACTTAAGAACAAACAAACCCAAGACTATGTCACTGGATGTTTAATTTTTAAAAAAATAATTATGAAACCCTTTTAATACAGATATGTTACAGACAGACACCTACAACATCTGTGTTAACCCGAGCGTTTGATTGTATATCCCTCCTCAGAAACACACCGTGAGTTGCTTCTTTGATTGGTGGGAGAGTAAGACTGCCTTTGGAAGGCAGTTACCAGCTCTCCAAATGGCTTTGGCCTGGGTGTCAGTCTCTTTCATGTCACACCAGTTTCCTTTGCACCAGGTCTATGACTCAGTGTTAGAAATATGCGTAGCTCAAAGTATCAGTCTCCCATACTGGCTTCTTAATTTTCAACCGTGGCCCTACTAAAACTGTTTAATATGTAACCCAAGTGCAATTACGGAGCAGAAAGCTGACCTGCCCTGATGTATGTGTCAGATGTGCAGGAGCTGCCACCTTTAAATCACTCCCTATTCATTTGCTCATGTGACAACCCTAAGGAGCAGGCAACCGAGAGTTATTGTTTGAAAATATGTCAAGCTGTATTAAAAGACTGGCTTTAGAGATGATTAAAATATTTTTGGCATTCAGTGTTTTGTCTTCCCTTCTACCAATTGTTGAATCTTATTTTTATTCCTTTTTTTTCTGAGTTAGTCTTAACATAGAGATTCTTAAGGTTTTCATTTATGTAAGCCCTAAAATTAGTTGGTGATTTTTTAGGGGTGTGGGAGTCATACGGGAGAGACTTTGTGCACTGGAGTTTGAACGGCTCTCTGAGACAGAACTGGAAGGGCACTTTACCATGAAGTCTTCCGGCTGTGTTTACTTTCCCTTTGCTCGGCTTCAGAGGTTAATGCAGATGGTGATACTGTGTGCGCTTTTCAGAGGCGCTCTGTTATTCCGCGGGTGGTGGTCTCTGGAATGAAGCTCAGGCCTGGATGTCCTGTTTGATTGTGAGTAGTCGTGTTTGTCTCAGAGGACTGGTGGCCAGGAATAAGCCACAGTGCCTAATAAGACACAGAGACCAGCTGGCAGGGTGCCACGGCATTTCTTGCAAGTGATTTTCTCATAAACAACATGGCTTCAGGCTGAAGAGGATGGTCACACAGTCTGCTAGGAATTACGGGTCAGAGTGGAATCTCAGGACTTGGTGGAGCCGGTCCTGGACACTCCGGAGTTTGAAATGAGTGAGTTCGTGGAGCCGTGAGTGCCTGTGGATCAAATGGGGAATGTCTGTGGCTGTGTTCGGGCTGAGAAAGAAGAACAGTATTTTGATCCTGCCAAAACTCCCTTGAGCCCTGAAAAACACTCTCCCGGAAGAAGATATTTCAGAAGAAAATCGTTCCAGAAAGCTGTAGCTGACACTGCTCCTGTGGGGCCAAGCAGTGAAAGAGAAGGCAAGAAGGGCGGCGGTCAACCTGCCAGGGAACGGCCAGCTGTGCCATCCAGAGAGCTGGTGCCAGAGGACCCCGCCACAAGCCCTGCACCGGAGGGTGGTGTGCAGCCAGCCAGGACAACTGCAGCCGACCACAGTGAGCAGAAACCTCTGCCTGGTGCTCCGGACCAGGGCTCCTACCCAGTGATAGTTTCGTCTGCTCAGAGCAGCGACTCAGAAGTACAACTTAGTGCCCGGGACAAGACGACTTCAGAAAAAGATAGTCCTCCCTGTCGCACAGAGACAGAGAGATATTTAGGTGATGTCAACACAAAACAGAGACCATTCCAGAGAAAAGACAGTGTTTCTCTTTTCCAAAAGTCAGCCAGCTTAAGTTCAGTCTGTGTCACAGAGAATACACTCAGAAACAATGTGTTTGTGGGAAACCTGTCAAAAAGTTACAGCAGTATCCAAGAGCACCGCAGGAGAGTTCACCCTCATGAAGCACACTGTACTCAGTTTACAAAAAGGAGGTACCATTCTCTCTGTGCTAGTGTGCCCACGGTCTCCAAGGGCACACCTGGGAATGATGGATGTGAGGTAAGTGAGAGAGTGTGAACGAATGCTCCCCCTTCTCACACCAGACTTGAGCGTTGTGGTTTGCCTTTCTAAAATGCCATCTGTGTATTAGCTCATGTGAAATTTAAGAGTTTTCATATGTGAACACTGTAATGTCAACTTTTGTGTTAACCGTGTCTCTTATCCTCACTTTAAGTAGCATGAATGTTTTAATTGTTGCATAGCTTGGGAAAGCCCTGATTGAACAGAATACTTAGCTTTAATTTCTCTAGTCTGCGGCTCTTAATTTTTCTTTTGGAGTAGCTGCAAAAACTTGGCTCTGTGTTAGATAAAAGTTAAATTAGAAAATAGTTAGGACAGTTGAATATCTTGATGTAGATGGCATAGAGGATTTTGATGTTCCTAATGTACACACAGAAAGACCAGTGTTTAAGATACTAGATTATCCAAATATTGCCTGTTAGATCATTGCCAGTTATACACATATACACACTGTAGTTCCCAAATACATTCAGTTACTGTGGGTCAATTAAAATATAAAGTATTATGTATTATTTAAAGGAATAAGTAGTGACAGGACAATGTAGGACAATATACAGTTCTTTCCGCATATTCTGCTGCTCTGGTCCATAGTCCAGGAGGCCAAATTCCAGTTCTGTATCAGTCTTCATGCACCAGACACTCACATAATTGCTTTCGCTTGTTCAGTGTGTTGAGGGTGGAGACACAGATCCACTTGCCCAAATTCCATGGCCCTGATTTGACATCAGAAATTGTTGGGGCATCATGTCATTGGCACTGGGAAATGACGCAGGCTACAGGAAGCTGAGATCTTTTCCCCTAACACTGATATTGAGCTTTGGACAAATCATTTGTCTTTCGAAAGTAATTAGATCAGTGTCATTTATTTCCCACGGAAGTACATTACTTAAATGTCTTCTCCGTGCTGCTGATGCAGGGTTTTCTTTTTTTTTTTTTTCTTTAAACTTTTCCTAACTTTATCTTTAGCCCCCGAATACAAGCAGCATTCGTGATACCCAACTTTATGGGCAGGGCAGGGCAGGTCATCATATCATTGGTGTAGATCATTGGCAGTGGCAGGCAGAAGTTTGTTAGGGTTAGTATGCATAGTCATCACTGACCTTGGTGCCTGAGTTCCTGTTTCTGTACACCGCAGACCTAGCCAATGTTCTGCCTCGTGAAGTTCTGTTTCTGTTTTGCGGTGGTTGCATTTATAAAGAAAACATCCAGTTGTAGCCTTATCTGTGTAAATCAGGCATAAAGGCCAGTGCAGAAGAAAGCATATTAGCTGCCCCGTGCTTAAGAATGTAGCTTGGTTTGGTGTCTTAGATTTATTTCCCTCATTTGGCTTCACGTGAACCCTGTGTGTTTTTGTTGCTGTTTGGAAATCGTCACAGCCTGTTTAGGTGCACATAACCCTTTTCATCACCACCCTCGTGCCAAGTATTTTGTGATCTGTTATAGCAAATGTGTTTTTAAGTTTCCTTGGAAAATACATGTAGAAATAAGTCAGAAACCTGCCACTTAGATTTGTTAAGTGATTGTGCTACAGCAGTGTGTAACTAAGTGTAGTGTCGTCTAGATCAGAGTAGAACGAGGCAGCTATGTTTTTATCCACAGAGAGCCAGCAGGCTCGGCTGTTATCTGAGGTCCTTTTTCCTGTATCATTGCAGGTGTCTGCTAGCCTCAGTTTGTTTCAGTGTGTTCGAGTAGAACTGTCTGTAGAACTCTGTGTCACAACGGACTCCTCACTTCCCATAGGTAATTAGATGGAAGTGACAAGCACTAGCCCCTTCTTTAGTGTCTTTCTTTCTCAGAAATATCTTGTTAACCACACAACCATTGTCTGCCTGAGATTATTCTTCACTTCCTCTCATTTGATTCATCCTTGAACACTGTAGAGGTGGCTTTGCAGTAGAATATGGTACGATTCTTTGAGCTCCTCTTAACCTGATTTGAACTCCCTTGGTCTTGTGACACTGGTCATTCTCTGTGCAGATGGCCAGTCTACCTCTCCTTGAAATCCTTGCAGTCATGTGCTGAGAAGCATTCCAGGCTAAGGACTCCCCTTCCATACACGTTTGACGAGTATATCTTATAAGCATACAAACATGTGTTGGACACATGGGTGGATTTGAAAGGAGATGGTGTGTATGATTCGTAGCCAGGATTAGTATGATGCTCCTAAATTAGAAAATGCTACTGTACATGTTATGGCCTTGGATCTCCCCAGCAGTTACATAAAATAGCCAAAATAGGTGGATCTTACACAGAGTGAAGAAAAGGAAGCTCATAGTAGCTCTACAACCCAGTGTATTCTAAGATAGTACAGTTATTGTTGGGGACCAGCCTCCGCAGAAATACCACTCTCCAGGGTAGGGTAGGTGTGTGGGGAATCTAGAAATATTAATAAAGAATATGAAGACATGGAAATAATAAAATAGGAGAAACAGAGACTAGTACCTGGAGGGAGTTCCAGTGAATATTGGAACTGCCCATGTTTAATTTCTAATTGCTTAAAATACCCCTGACCCCAAAAGGTGGAGTAAGACAAAAGACTGCATTAACAAGGTACAAGGAAATGAACAGACTAGTTGAAGGTCACAGGCTATGTCCACATTTAATCATTTTGTTGCTGTTCTAAAACAAGTCATGCTCACACCCTAGACCGAAATATTCTGTAGGCAAACAACTCCCTGGGTGGAATTCAGTGTTATCTCTTTAAAGGAATTGGAACACTGTTGGATCCTTAGACTTTGTTTGAGGTAGAAACTTCTACTTCTCCATTCCTGAAATACAAGGTCTGACTATTAGCCACACCGGTTGGCAATGACCTTGAGAGAGCAGAACTCTCTGATATAAATCTAGGTGGGACCATTGTTTGAGGTAGAAGCACAATAACCTTGAAAGAATAGAGGTAACTTCCAACTCTATGACCTTTGGTCAACGTGGAAATAGGCTCACATTTTCCAGGGCCTCCACAAGTTATTATGATTAGCTGATTTAGACAACAGTATGGTATCTGTTACATCTCATTGTCAGGGAAGTTCTGTGGGCATGGTTGCCAGTCTGTAGCCTAAGTACTTACTAGGCTGTGACAGGAACTCTGTTTGATCTCAGGAATTTCAGGAAGTAGTCCACCATGCCCAAATAAGGGATGTGAACTGCTTAGCTTAAGGAGCAGTAGCCAGCCCAATACAGAAATGGAAGGGATCAGAACTCACATCGTGTCTGTGGTAGATACTGAATTTTATCCTGGGCAACATAGTGAGACCACAGTTCTGTAATTTAAAGCAAAAAAGACTGAAGAAAACTGCTAGAAGGAATCAGAGCCAGGGCTGATGCTCATAAGATCATCTGTGAAGGGTAGGAATGATGAACACAAGAGGCATGACATAGATAGTCCTTGTGAACAGGTAGTCTTTGCAATGAATTAAGTAAAATGCTGCAGGATCCCCAGTGGTTACAGCGGCAGAGACATTGCAGGTCCCCGAGCAGTGACAGTGGGCAGCGGGTCCCTAGAGCAGCCAGTCCTAGGCAGAGACTGGCACAGTTCCCCAAGTGCCTCCTGCAGCAGGCCACGAGGAGAAAAAGACAGATGGGCACACCATGAGACCATGCTGCAGGTCTCCGAAGGCAGCTGGTCCCGGGCAGGGAACCATGCTGCAGCAGGCGAGAGATAGAGACATGGTTAGGCACGCCATGCAGAGTGAGGTTGGATATATATTTAGTGGTTATGGGGGGGGAGGAGAAGGGGAGAAGAGCAGAGAGGTGGGGGTGATTGAGGGAGAGAAGGGAGATGCTGAAGCTGCCTCTTTGAGAGGGAGATGAAAAAGGAAGGGACTCAGGCTGGAAGCTGAAGATCAGCTTGCCTCAGCTGACTGGGGGGAGTGGGCGTGGTTTGTCTCTTAAAGGGACAGGACAGATCATTACATTCCCGGCTCTTTTTTTATAATAAAAATGTGGGAGGTTAGGCACCGCAGGTTAAAGGAATTGTAGCAGTAGATTCTCAAGACTGCTTCCTACTTATTTGTGGGTGTCGTCTTTGAGGGGAACCTGAGAAGGCTGGGTGCGGGTCACATCCTGGCGTTAGGTGGTCTCTTTGCTCCTGTCCAGTGTTTGTGGTATGGAAATGTCTGGTGTCTCTTACACCTGTTTAAGATATTGACAGAACAGAGGACAAAGTTAAGTTTAGGGGAAAAAAATATTAGGATCAGGGAATTGAGAGGGGTGTATCTGACTTGTTTAAGGTGGATCCTCCAGTTCGGCTCCCTGGAACTCACAAGAATTCTTTGGGTTTGTGGAAACAGAAGTTTTAGACATATGCGCTGTATAGACAGCAGCATGTTTATGTCAGAATGACTGTGACAGATATTTTTGTATAATGAAAAGTATTTTTAAGACTATAGAAGGCAGTGTGAGAGAAATTTAATAACTCGTATTTGTCCTCACACCTTTATAACTTGCAGGTCTTGTATTTGTATTTTACTGAAATTTGTTTGGTGAAGTTGTCCTTTTAAACGGACAGAACCTCTCAGCTGTCCAACTGCATGAGAGATCTTTGGAAGGATAAAATTTTACTTGAGTTACTGATTTAAAAACGACAGAGAACTTAACTTGGTTAGCATCTAGAGCTACTCCTCAGGGTCCTCCATGTTGTAAGAGACTTAAAAGTACATACCAGTTTAAAACATGAGTTTTTGTTATCTGAAATGAGATACAGTGAATAGACAATTATAACATTTAACAGTAAGCATAAGTGCATTTAAGTTACATGTATGAACACACACACACAGAGTGAACAGGAGTTGGGTGAAGTGGATGCTCTTGTTGGGCCCTACCAAAGGCATGCTGCTGTGCAAAACACACATGCAACAGGTTAGGCATTATCATTTCTGTAATTTCATATTCTTTCAGAAGCAATTGAAGCAGATCATGGCTTTCCTATTAATCCTAATGCTACTCTTCGGGTCCTGCTACGCTAGCCTCTTTCCCCACAA